CCCACCCCCAGGCCTGGCTCCAGGAGGGGGCCCCGGTGACCCGTGTCCGGGCAAGGGAAATCGTGGATCCATGTTATTACTCATCATAAAGGGTCTTGTGAGCAGCACTTCGTCTGGTTCCTCACCCAGGACCTGTTTGCCTTGGGTGACCCTACCAGGGGCTTAAAGCCCCAGGCAACTTAGCTCCTGGGATCACTGGAACACGCAAACCTCTCCACCACGATAAGGTGTCGGCTCCAGGAGAGGAATTATTTTTTTTTTATTATTATTTTTTTTTTGCTTCTGCAATTTTTTTTTGCTTTTGGAATGCTTTTTTTGCTTCTGACTTTTGGCACTGTTTTATCGGGTGGGCGGGCCTTAGTCAGCTGGAATTTAGAGTGAACACGGCTTTAACCATCTGATCACGCCCACTCCATGACGCTTCAGAACATCGCAACATGGCGGGAAGCTCTGGAGCTAGTTTACAGCATGGAATTGCATCTTTGTAGTTCTATAATAGTGTACTTTTATTAGGAATCGGTCTATGCAACACATATTTCGCGTTCATAAAATGTCACCAACCCATCCAGTTCAGTAACTTTCGCTATTCCCCCAACGTGCTGACCAGGGAAGTTTCTAGCTAAAGCTTCTAGCTTCCAGCTGAAGTTTGCCTTGATCAGGGGAACCTGGGGGACAATGCACACCCCTTACATTTTCAGAATAACTTTCTCTCTAACAGGTATTAATTAGTGCGCTGTATCCATATTACATGCCATTGAGGCAGCACACTAAAGCTTAATGCTAATGTATTAAATGTGACAAAACACCTAATCAAGCAATTCAGCTGCAGTACATTTGCTTTGTCCCACGGTGCACTGCCTTAATCACACTTTACAACTTATTTATGGATTAATATGTGTTATCTCTATTATATCCATAGGCGGCCGAAGCATTTTGAATGTGGGGGGGAGGGGGACACACTGGCATAAAACTAATATTTTATGTTAAATGTGGGGGGGGGGGGTCCAAACGAATAATTATGGAATGTGAGGGGGGACAGGTCCCCTTCAGATTTAATGGCGGCGACGCCCATGATTATATCG